TGCTCAGTCTTTCCCCAAAGAGACCTATAGTCAGGAAATCATACATCAGGGAAGGGAGGGGTACCCTGATGTTTCCAGTATTATTAGCCATGGAGTCTGCATGTACATTGATAACTGAGGATCTGAAGCATCATGATGCTCCTATTAGAATAGGGCATATGTTGGCCAGGTAATGACTAGAGGCCCCAAACTGGACTGATTCACCATGACACTGGGTCAGTGAACTCACCAAATGGCCATCTCCTCAGTCTCTAAATGTGTCATTGGAATGGGCATACTTTGTGATGGACGGAACCTCATGTTCTCTTTAGTTTGTGAGTTTCTGGAGCAATAGAGAAGTCCAGCAGGGAGCTCTGAAACTGACTCCATCTCCACAGTCAAAACACTAAATGAAAACCTGGGGAGAATAGAAGAGATTAGGGCCGCCCATTAAGACCTAAAGTATCTGGGGAGTAGTGGTTTTAACCATAGACCCCATTTGATCCATCAATCTGGGCTCTGAAAACCCAACAGATTCTGGAAGATGTAAACTACTGCAAAGTCAACCAAGTGACAGTACCAGTTTCTACTGTTATTCCAGATTTGTTGTTGTTGTTGTTGTTGGAGAAACACAACCTGGGATATATGGCATGTGGCTTGATCTAGTCTTGATTCTTTTTCATTCCCATTCAGAAAATAGAAGCAGTTACATTCACATGGAGTGGACAGCAGTGTACATTTACACTGCTAACACTACACCTGTTAACTCTTATGCTCTCAGCAATAATTTAATCCAGAGGGAACATGGGTTGTCTGGACATTTAAAGAATGTCATATTGGTCCACTAATTTGATGACAGCAAGTTAATAGGTTCACATGAGCAAGATATGGCAAGTAACTGAAGCCTTGGTGACACATGTGCTTCAGAGGCTACAAGGATTCAAGAGCTCATCATATCTGTGGACATTTAATAAAGGACAAGTTATTGCATTGCACACCTCTCTTCACTAGGAAGGAAGCACATCACCTGGCAAGCCTCTTTGGGCTCTGGAGGCCTCATTTACCATTCAGAAATACTACCCTGACACATTTACAAGTAACATGTAGCACTGTCAACTTTGAGTGGAGGCCATGTCTGGAAAGAGCACTGTATCAGGTCTAGGTTGTGATAGAAGCAGCCTATGCTTCTTGGATCATATGACCAGCAGACCCTCTGTTATCAGAGGTATTTGTGGTGGGAAAAGATGCCATGTGGAGTTTATGGCAAGCCCAATAGGAGAGTCACAATGTAGACCCCTAGGGTTCTGGAACAAGTCCATGCCATCTGCAGCAGACAATGATATACCATTGAAAAAAAAGAGCTCCTGGCATGCTGATGGGCCCTGGTTGAGACGGAGTGCCTGACCGTGGGACATTGAGTGACCATGTAGCCAGAACTGCCCATGATAATCTGGGTTCCGTCCAGCTCACCAAATCATAGGGTCAGGCAGGCCTAGGCGCGATCCATCATAAGATACAAATGGTGTGTCCAGGATGAACAGGGAAAGTGGGCACAAGGAAACTCCATGAGCTGGCAGTCTGTCCACTCCTATCCCACCAGCTCTTCTTCCTCAGCTCTCATTGTTATGATCACTTATATCCTCACAAGATCCCTTATTGATCAACTAAGAAAGAAAAAGTTCGAGCTTAGCTTATGGAAGAGTTAGATTAGCTTGTGGGTGTAAGTCAAGAATAGACAGTGACTGTATTATAGTCCCTCCTAGGAGCAGCCTTGAAACAGATGAGGGGAAATCCTCCTCCATTGAGGATCTCTGGACTATGTGCCTGATCACCTACTTTTGAGGAAAAAGAAGTGGCCCAGATACTCAAGAGACAAGGCAAAGGGGCCAGGAAGCAGCAAACTGGAAGTATCAGAGTCAAGGACTCTGGGGAAGAGGCCCACGGCTATAACTATGGGAGTAGACACAACCAGTGAGGACCTTTGTGCCACTTTTTAATGCCCACCAAAGAGCACCTACCACGGGGGAGGCACGTACCCACCCAAATACAAAATGCCTCACCAGTGGGTGCCAACCAGCCTTTATCACTGGCCACCCAAAGGCTGGTACCACTAGCGCATCACCGTCAGGGATGGAGGCTGTGTATGGGCTCACCAGCACACCCTCTGCCCCCCAAAGCTGGACGGAGGAGTCACCACCCTGGCGTGAGTAATGGTTCATCAGGAGAAGGGGAGGGCTGCTGTCATACAGCAGGGTCGGGGAGAATTTGCTGGCTACCAGGTGATCTGTGCTGATGCCTATTGGTGCTCCCAGGGCAAAGTCTGATGCTAGACACGCCCAGTAAGCAAAGCCTGAGAAGTGCAGGCCGGGAGCTGAGGGATGAGGCTCAGGGCCACCGCACCAGGTAAGCCGTGTGTGAATACGCAATGGGTGGAGGCGGTGGGTGGAGGTGAGAAGCAGTTGCGGTGGAGACCATCAGCAGCCACGGGGCGGTCCTTCACCCCACTACCCTTCCTCTTGCGGTCTCTCCAGGAAGAGACACGGAGGAGAATCCCGGCCCGGTTTCCGGTGGTGCGAAGTTCTCCTACAACGTAAAGGGACCCGCGTGTGCAGGACGGGGCTGCAGGTGGTGCGCTGGTGGCCTGGCCAGGAGTCCCATCGGACCCGGGCGCTCGTTTCCCCAGCCCCCCGGAGCGCCGGCTGCACACCGGTGGCCGCCGTGAGCCTAAACTGGAGCCTTCAGCTGAATGATGACAAATGATACTTGCAGTCTATCGTTTTTACAAAATTCCTCCAGCACGGGCCGAACACGTCCATCAGGCCAGACACCAGCCCCGTGTGCACAGGAGTCATTCATTAATAGAGCACAGGGCTCAGCGCATTCGTGCCAACGACAGGCAGAAGGCAAACCAGGAGAACAGAAACAAAAACTGAACCCGGCGAAGTGCTGTTGCCTTTCCAGCCAATCACGTAAACCTCCGAGAGGAACTCCTCTCTTCTTGTACAAGTTACGAATGTTGATCTTCAAACACCCATCCCAAAGAAGTGACTAGTACCCTCCCTGATATACAAAGGAAAAGTACAAATTCCATTTCATGCAAACACATGTCCAATTCAAACGTCCGTGATCTTGTCAGAAATTAAACGTGGGAGAGAACAGAGAAGGATATTATTGGGTCTGCATGGTGGGCTCCATGCCAATAGGTGCCAAAAATTCACTGCTACATAAACTAGACTCCGATTCAAAACTCCACTTTTGTTGGGTGATGCATATTCCAAACTTTTACTTTATTTTTGCTGACAGAACTTTGTTTTTCCCCCCTTTTTTTATTTTTCAGCAGGAAGGCACAATCATTCTACAATACTGCCAAATATAACAAACATCTACAGATGGATTGGTCTGCAGCTGGAGGCTTTAACTTTGTAGTATTTATTTGAAATACCCAAGCCAGCAAAGGAGGGCGAAGGCACTGTGGGCACGATTCACAATGTTTTGGCTCTGGAGCAAATAGCAGTTGAACTTAGTTTTTCCAGCTAAAATGGAATTTATGCAGATGCGCTTTGCACTAAATTCATTAAACAATTACATCCTGGTGCAGTTTTCACATTTTTGTAAAGGATCTGCGTAAGCACTAATTAGATCTAAAACAATGTTACTGAGCAAATTACAGTCCCGATTGTTTGCCTCGTCTCTGCGTTCCGCATCTGCTTCGCAATGATGATGATAATTTAGGTGCAAGCTATACAAATGCCGGTTTTTGTTACATTTACTAGAAATATTTATTTAAAACATACTATAGATTAATTGATAATGCAACCGGCTTTAAAGAGCCTCCAACTGTTTTCTCATGGACAGTGAGCGGTAAAAATTGAATGTGGAGATACAGTGGCTGAAGCTTCTCACGAATGCGAACTGGCATTTCCTCCTGGAGATTTGCTATTGAAAGGCAACTTTGCATTTCATTTGGCTGCAAGTGCAAGCTGGGTTAGCTGAATTTCAGCGGTGCCTTTCAGAGCTCGGCATTGGACCTAGAGGCATAAAGACTGCCCTCAACAGCTCCCAGCCGCCGCTACCCACGCCACCCCTTCTCCAGGCACTGGTTTCAAAGGATAACTTAGCATGGGAAAAGTATTCGGTTCTCAAGTATTTCAGACCTCTGAGTATGTTTTCTGTCTTCCATGTTTATCTGCTTTCTATTTCACATATCTTGAAATGTAAGAAGGCATATTAACATTTAAACATCAGCTCAGTTCCACAGAAGGGAGGACATTCAGGGAGGGTTTCTATGGCAACTTTGAATGTACCAACTTAATTCAGGGCTTGCCACAGCGCGGTCACCTCCATTATTGCTCTCATCCTAGACATTCTTTAACTCGCCTGACCAGCCATGCAGTTGGGAATCCTGAGTGTCACCCAGGATAACAGCTACTACAGCTACCTGGCATTATTTTTATTCCTGGGAAAGGGGCCAGCTTGGTGAATCAGTTTGGCTGCTGGTCTCCCTAAGAACTACTCCCGTTATTTGACTTTACAAATGGTTACTTTTATTGTTGGGCAGAGCCAGCTATGAAAGAGCAAACGGAGTGTCAGCACCAACAAAGACTAAGAGGCAAATGACACTCCAGGTTTTAATCAGTGCAGAGTCCAAAGTTGGGAAATATCTCCTCTCCAAGCAGGAAGACTCATTATTAATGCGAAACACAGCAAGTATTGATGGTGCTTTCAAAATTTCACATCCAGTTTCCTCCACTTTGCTGGATTGCCTCCCTAACCTTTATACGGGACTTTCTGTTTCATTCCGCGGTTCCTGCTAGGCAAGAAAGATCATAACTAGAAGGATGATAATTCCTTCTACAGACCTAATTGGTAAGCCTGAAATTGCTGTGCTGGTTGAATATGAAATTATATCCTCCTTGAAGGAAAACATAATTTAACACTGGAGCTTTGGGTCATTTAAAGGTAAAATATCATCACACTATGTACAAAGGCAAAGTAAAACTTGTATCAAAAATGTTATTTTGGTGCTAGCTTCAGCAGCACATATACTAAAATTGGAACAGTACAGAGAAGATTAGCATGACCCTTGTACAAGGTTGACACGCAAATTCGTGAAGCGTTATATTTAAAAAATGTTATTTTAAGGGCACCTGGATGGCTCAGTCGGTTGAGTATCTTACTTTGACTCGGGTCATGATCTCACAGTTCCTGAGTGCAAGCTCCGTGGCAGGCTTTGTGCTGACAGCTCAGAACCTGAAGCCTGCTTTGGATTCTGTGTCTCCCTCTCTCTCTGTTCCCCCCCCCCCACATATGCAATCTCTCTCTCTATCTCTCTCAAAAATAAATAAATAAATATTTAAAAAATTTTTAATGTTATTTGATTAGAAAAAGAGAATAATCAGTATTTCCTAACTCGAACTCCAAATTCTTATTGTTTCACCTTGGGGAGATATTTAGTTCTGTATTTTACTTCTATTTAGTGTGTTATTGTAAGGGGGAAATGGTAAGGATTTAATTGTTACTGAATTAGAAATAATGTGAGAGTTTTTTTCTCAAACTTCCAAAAGTTACCTTTGGACTGATAGCAAGTGGAAAAAGTACTAGCCAAAACACTGAAATTTTAGAAAGTTATGAACAATCGGGAAAAGGTTATTATGTCAACTTTATTATTACGGTGTTAATTGCTCCTGTAGCTGATAAAATATATAGTCTATGCAACTCCTAAAGAGATGGTCTAATGAAACAACAGAGCTCTCGGCAAAACTGATTTAATTCAACTATTGTGCTTTTGGCCACAGGGAATTCCATTTATGGTTGGTTGGCATAGATGAGACCACTTACTGTTCCTGAGTGTCCCTGTAAGGCCCTGGTAGTGGCTATCTTTGGCCCTAGGGGGCCTGAGATCATTCTTGGTTCCATTTTATTCCTCTCCTTTTTTCTGGCCTTCTTCCTGCTTCTACCAGGTGAGAAGTTCCAGGTTTTTTCTCTGAGCCAAGCACGATATTAGGCATTGTACATCCAGAGCTGAATAAGACTGAGGCTCTGCCTTCATGGAATTCACGGTGTGGTGGGGAATAGTGAAGCATCTTTATCCAACATGGCACATGCTTGTCGTTCCTGATTATGTATACTGGGGAAGGCCCAAAGGTTGAGTATCATGTAGCTATAGTTATCATGAAGTAACCTTAACTATCTGTGGGACTGAACTCCTGAACTGTCTTTCCCAGAATATATTATCCAGTATAATACTAGATAGTACTTATCTGATATAATATTACATATATATGTTGACCCAGTAATGTCCATCCAGGAAAACTACAAATTGCTATTACTGAGGATGCTGTAAGGTTCCCCTGGCTGCCAGAATGTCTCTCCATACCGTCTTGTCTTTCCGTATGGCTGGCAATTTCTATTTCTAGCATTCAAATGTCCTCTTAAATGAATCTTCTTTAAGAAGCTTATCTCTTTAGCAATTTCACTTTATATTACCCAGATTAACTTTAAATCACCAGCACTACGGAGTACTTCTGGTAGAAAGCTGCTAGTCTAGGGGCGCCTGGGTGGCTCAGTCGGTTGAGTGTTTGACTCTTGATTTCAACTCAGGTCATGATCTCACAGTTCATGGGACTGAGCCCCACATTGGGCTGTGCACTGATAGCACAGAGACCACTTAGGATTCTCTCTCCCCCTCTCTCTGCCTCTCCCTCCCTCCTTCCTGTGTGTGTGTGTGTGTGTGTGTGTGTGTGTGTGTGTGTGTCAAAATAAATAAATAACTACTAAAAAAAATGCTAGTCTAGATGCTGATTCTGCACTGGACAAGGGGGTAATTCTCTGCTTGTAGTAGTGCCTTCTGTGTGTCCCGGATAGGACAGTGAGAGCTCCTTGTTCTGTATATGACAAGAGACTTTTATATTTGGCGTTCTGATCAGCAAGGCTGATGCAGTAGGAAAAGGAGCATAGGCTAATCTTTAAGCTATCAACTGTTAAGTGAGGTTTTTTCTAGTCTGAAAGAAATTATTTAATCAAAACCTCTTCTATTTATTGCTTTGCAACAGAAAAGAGGAAATAGTGTGGTGGAAAGGGATCTAGGAGCCCATGGGTCTCTGAGACAATGCTGGAGGGCTGGTGTCCTCACGAAGGACTGAGGGGGACTTTGTGTGCCTGAGAGATACGAATAACGTCACTTGGAATTTGCTCTACTCATTCACTGCGATTTCTCCCTTTATTTATTTTTTTAAATTTATTTCTAGGAGAGAGAGAGAGACAGCATGAGCAGGGGAGGGTCAGAGAGAGAGGGAGACACAGACTCTGAAACAGGCTCCAGGCTCTGAGCTGGCAGTCAGCACAGAGCCCGAAGAGGGGCTAAAACCCACGAACCGAGAGATCATGACCTAAGAGAAAGTCGGACGCTTAACCGACTAAGCCACCCAGGCGCCCCATCTCCTTTAAAACACTCAAGGAAACACACTGGGAGGAAGTTAGATGCTGGGCTAGGCAGTTTTTTCTCTACACTTCAGATTCTGGCTGTTTTGACAGTGTTTTTAAGTACCTAACTGTGTGCCACCACATACTAGGAGTTGAGACTATAATGAGGCACTAGAGATATGGTCCCTCTCTGTTTTCAAACTCTACTTAGTGGGGGCAAGAACATATTTGTTACTCTTCCTTATACCCTCAAAGCATAACACAGTATCTGGCACTTACTGCTTTCTACTTATTGGCGGAGACAGACATCTAACCAGATAATTTCAACATAAAACAGTAAGTGAGGGGGCTCTTGGGTGGCTCAGTTGGTTAAATCACCAACTCTTGATTTCAGCTCAGGTCATGATCTCATGGTTGTGCGATCGAACCCAGAGTTGGGCTCTGCATTGGTCATGGAACCTGCTTAAGATTCTCTCTCTCTCTCTCTCTCTCTCTCCTCCCCCTTCCACTTGTGTGTGTGCATGCTCTCTCTTTCTCAAAAAAACCACCACTACCACCACCACCAAAAAGAATCCAAAAATAAAACAGTAGGTGAGAAAGCAATGGAAATCCTCCAGAGAGTCCCCTAACCCACTGTTTTTGAGCCCTAAAGGATCAGCACAGGTTAAGTGGGCCAAGAAGACTGTAGAGGGCTTCCAGATAGAAGGAATGGCATGAGCAAGTTGGGGAAATCTAAAATGGCATGGCCTCTGGAATAACTGCAAGCTGCATGGAGTTAATGAAGCCAAGAGTCCCAGGGGGAAATCACTGAGAAGGAAAACTTGAGTGGCAAATACAGACCAGACTTGTGCCCTCTGGGACATATGGAGAATCTTGGATTTTACTCTATAGGCAATGAGAATTCATTTCAAGGGTTTTAAGTACAAATTAATCTTTTGTATGGTGTTCTCTCCCCCTCTGGTAGTAATAATAGGTAATATGTATTGAATGCCTACTAGATGCATGTCTAAGTGCTCACATGCTTTTTCCTTTCTTCATTTTACAGAAGAGCGAACCTCTACACAGAGAGATTAAGTTAGTTGCCCAAGGTCACACTGGTAAGTGTAGAGTTGGAACTTGAATCAGGTCTTCGTCACTGTAGCCAGAGGCAGGGGGAGCCTGCAGGATTTCACAGAGAAGTGTTATAACCCCATGGTTTTTAGTTTGAACTGCTTTTCTTTAAAACTAACACTAGATTTTCAGAATCATGATTCTCTAGAATATACAGCTCTTCTTTTTGTTTTCTCTCTCGTTCATATTTCTGCCTTTCTTAAAGAGTACAGGGAAAGCATTAATTGTGAATTCCTTTTTCTTCCAGCAAATATGTAAGAATTATCGATACAGGCATTAATTGGATCACCTAATATACTGAGTTTGCTCTTTTTGTGACTAACTTGAGAATGAAAATACCATTTCCTCCTCTCTTATGTCTCTCCAACCCAGCAGCTTCTTTCCTGGAGACTCTAGGGCAGCACTTTCCAATGGAACTTCGTGTGATGATAGAAATACTCTATTACCTGTGCCATCCAATACCTTATATGCAGCTAATGAGCAAATGACATGTGGCCAGTGTGCCTGAGGAACTAAAATTTAAATTTTATTTCAATTATTTTCAATTCAAATTTTATTTAATTTTAATTACATTAATGGAAATATCCACAAGTGGCCAGGGGCTACTGTTTTGGACGATGTAGGTGTGAGACATTTTCATTATAGAAAGCTGTATTGGATCATGTTGCTCTGAAGCATCCACCTCTGCTAACCAAAAACTGTACTTGTAATCCTAATATTACTGAAAATGAAAGACTCCTCCATAACAACCCATTAACTTCTAGCTTAGAGTTCTTGCTGATAGTTTTCAGATTTGTTTCACTTTTTCAATTAGATTTTGGATCTCATCCATGGTCTCCTGAGCTAGTAAATTACTCTCTGAAGGCAAATCTCATGAGATCAGCAATTCTTCCACAAAATGTAGGAGTTTTAAAGTTCTCAGCCTAAAGAATCCACTAAAAAGTCTGTTAGGACTAGTGAATGAGTTCAGCAAGGTTCCAGGATACAAGTTCAATGCACAAAAAGCAATTTCGTATATAACTCTTGGCAATAAACCAAAAAGTCCAAAAATGTAATTAAGAAAAATATCCAATTCATAATAATGTTAAAAAGAATAAAATCATTACAGGTAAGTTTAACAAAAAAAGTCCAAAACTTATACTTTAGAAGTTATAAAACATTGAAAAAAATTAAAGATGTAAATAAATAGGAAAACATCTCATGCCCATGGATTGGAAGGCTTAATGTTGTTAATATGACAATACACCTCCAGGGAACCTGCAAATTCAAAGCCATCCCTTTCTAAATCTTAGATGAACTCTTTGTAAAAATTGATAAACTGATTTTCAAATTTATAAGGAATTGCAAGATACCAACCAAAGTCAAAACAAGCCTGAAAAAGAACAAAGTAAAAAGATTCACACTTCCTGATTTCAAAGCTTACTACAAAGTAGTGGTAATCAAGACAATGTGGTTCTGGTGCAAGGATAGACGTAAAGATCAACAGGATAGAATCAAGAATCCAGAAGCAGTTCATGTATCTACAGTCAGAGGTTCTTAAACAAGTGTGTCAAGACCATTCAATGGGGAAAGGGCAATCTTTTCAACAAATGGTGT